TCAGTTGAGGAGCCAGCTCTTGATTTCAGCTTGGCTCAGGTCATGGTCTCAGGGTTCTGGGATGGAGCTCTGCAGGGGCCTTTGCAATCAGTGGGGAGTCTGCTTCAGGACTCTCTCCCTCTGCCCCTCCCCACTCCCTCTGTCAAATAAATCCTTTATAATCTTTTTAAAGATTTTATTTGAGAGAGCGAGAGAGCATGAGCAGGGGGGAGGGGAGGGGAGTCGGAGAAACACATTCCCCGCTGAGCAGGGTTGGATCATTACCTGAGCGAAAGGTACTTAACCAACTGAACCAGCCAGGCATCCCATAAATAAATCTTAAAAAAAAAAAAAAAAGTACAGTTAATTAGTAGTTGTATTTTGGCGTCAAAAGTTTATTTGTGGATTTTCTACTATGCAGGGGGTTGGGCACCTTAATCCCTGCATTATTCAAGGGTCAATTTTACATCTGTAGAGAAAGATGTTTCACTGGAAACATTAGCTTGTATGCAAGTTTATAGTAATGAGTCTACAATACACTAATTAGCCTGCTGTTGGTAATAGGGCAGTAAAGAGCCTTGGATATCACATGGAGAATGCCTGCAAGTTCCGATCTCAAGCCAACAGCAGAGAAGCAGTGAACACCTACCTAATCCATCCTTGCTATGGAAAATCAGGTATACCAATTTCAGTGATGTGAGGGTTTATAACAGCAAGTTCTTTGACACTTCCTCATTCAGAGAACGAAGTACAAAGATCTACCTCAATGAAGGAAAGGCTAGGCACAGCTGAAACTGTATTTTCCCTGCATCCATGTCCTTAATCTGGTTTCCCAATTACATGTCCAACCCAATATTCCATTTCATTTTATTCATTCAATAAGCATTTGAGTATGTATAAACTGCTAGGGATACAGTAACTAATTAGATCTCCCTATAAGGAAGTTAAAAGTTGAACCAAGATCAGAATGAGTAGAGTCAACCAAGCTATGAATCAGGGGAATGTCTAATGGAAAAGAAATATATCAAATACAGGCAGAATTAAGTTTGGAACATTTTAAAATTGTTTTAAGAATGGAAGCAGGGGAGCCCCTGGGTGGCTCAGTGGGTTAAGCCTCTGCCTTCCGCTCAGGTCATGGTCTCAGGTCCTGGGATGGAGTTCCGCATCAAGCTCTCTGCTCAGCAGGGAGCCTGCTTTCCCCTCTCTCTGCCTGCCTCTGCCTACTTGTGATCTCTGTCAAATAAATAAATAAAATCTTAAAAAAAAAAAAAAAAGAATGAAAGCAGGGAGACGTGGGGGATGGAAGGGAGCACAACATGGACAGGTAATAGGAGTGGAAAGTGGTGTGTTAGGAACCACAGCCAAGTGTCCAGCTAAGAAATATTAGTGGCTTGGGGAATGGGGCCAGCAATGGGAGAGATCAACAAATTCATTATATTTTGGTGGCTGTTGGTCACTGCCTTTAAGGAATCAAGTACGACTCCAAGGTTGGTCTGAGTATCTGAGTGGGTAAATGCATAGTGGTATATCATTTACTGAAGTAAAGGCTGGGAAGGAAGGACCATGTTAAGGAGAAAAATCAAGAGTTCCTTCCTTCACATGGCTATACTCTCCAACGAAACTTCCTTTACCAGTCCACATTTTCCCAAGTCCTTGCCTATTTGAAAATAAGAATCCTTCTACTAGAACGCTCTTCTATCTCCCTTGCCTCCCACCATGCCCTCAGCAACCCACCTCTCAAAAGTCCTTCCTCTACCACTCATCCCACTTATCCCCTAAATTGAATAATTCATTCCTTTAGACTTACTGGAACTTTATTTCTATCTCTCATAAGGAATTTAACACCTTCTACCTTGCATTAAGTATTATATAATTTCTCAGAATGTAAGCTCCTTGTCTCATCCATCTATTTCTGACATATGGTACTAGAGTGCTTTATAAATGAGATGAAGACTCAAAATATGCAAACATTTAATGTTACCTTAATCACAAAGCCTTTACAAATATAAGATTGCTAGGATCTCATCAGCATACATGAAGTTAAAACAAAAGACTGAACAGAAAATTCTTTTTGCATATAGTAATAACTGAAACCTAACGGTATCAACTTCAGAAAATATTCTGAAAAACATTAAATTTAAATAAGACAAAAACTGCAAATTAAGTGAATAGAAATTAAGTAGATCAATTTATTTTTTTTGTATATTTCACAAGTATAATTTTGGAAGGGCTATTTGACAAATTTCAGCATTAACTGCCAACTCTATAGACATGTTCAACAAAAGCATTTACTCTTGGCCCTTTAATACAGGCAAAGTGTTCTATTGCATCACAAATGAGAGATGCAGTAACAGATCTGAGGGCTTATTAAAGAAATTAGGTGTTTTTTCCAAATGCTATTTGGTTGATAGTAACATAATACAAACATACATGAATGATTTCATGACTACCAGCAATTTGCAAAATAAAACCCATTAAGTCTACCTACTTTAAAGGCCAAAACTAGTAAAACAGTATTAAAGTTGGTGTTCTTAAATCTTTAGATTAACAACCAGAATGAGGTTTCTTTGATCCCAATTTTATAAGGTGTGGCGGGGAGTCAGGGGAAGAAAGGATATGGGTGGTGGGCGAGGGTGGGGAAATGGCAGTGCATGCTGAGTTGCAGAGTTGGGACAGTGGCTCAATTTAGTTATCCAAACTAGGATAGTGTTTTAGAAAATTAAAATGTGTCCTAAATGTGGCATACTGAGAAGGATATTCAAGGCTAATTCATCAGCCCTAAACATCATTTAATGAATGCTATCTGGAGGCTTAAGAAGTAAGCAAGGATGGGGGGGTGAAGTAAAATGAGGTGAAAAAGGAAAATGAAAAGTACAAGAAATGTGTTTGAATGCTGGGGAGTGTGAAAAGGCCACCAGAAAAACTTACTTTTTGTTGCCACTCAGGTGTACTCTTCCTATAGGCTACCTGCTCCTGGATCACCAAACACCAAATTTACAGCACAATTTAAGTAGAGATTACATTTCAGCTTTGCTAAAACGTCACTGATTCAGATTGAGAAAGAATACACAGCTGATTTAGTAAGAAGTATCCATAAATATTTAGAGGTATGGTTTTCTTACATCAAGTAAAAAGCAACTAATTCCAACTCGAAGTAAAAACAAATAGAAAGGCCTTACCCGGCCTGCCTTGATGAATAGTTGACTTATTTTTAGGTGAGCAGCACATGAGTATTGAATTAACTTGTAAATAGACTGCAAACATCCTGCTGCCAGTTCATCAAAACAATCCAGTAATTCTTACTATCCCAACATGTCAAGAACTGTAATTGTTTTAGTCAGATGTAGCCTTCAAAAAGGAAATGTTTCTCAAAATGCTCTACCAATGTAGGAGCTACTGGACATCAAACAGGTAATTTATTTCAGACTTTAGCCAATTTTCATGAAATATTTGTTACCCTGAACTTCAGTTCACTCCAACATTCATTTATAATAAACAAGACAATTAAAATTAGCCATTTTTCAAACCACAACTCTCAAATTAGAGAAATGAAGAATTAAACTCATCTAGTCAACATCTTCATTCAAGCAATGGTGAAACAGTGCAAAAATATGTCTTCAATAAACTGAGACTTGAGGCAGAACAAAAAATAGAAAAATTAAAAACCTCTGTATCCCAAGCACCAATAATGGAGGCTAAGCAATTATACCTAAAAATTCTTATTGACAGGTCTTTCCCTAATGGAAAATCCTGAGATTTTAAGCACTGTGACTTTACAGAAGGCAGGTTGGTTTAATGAGGAAACTTACTTTTAATAAAAAGACAATCAACAGTATTTTATTTTGGGCACTTACTCAGTATTTCACAGATCCTCAACAAGTTTTGAGGTAGGTTAAATATCAGCATTGTATTTTACAATAAAACTTAAAGGTTATATCACTTGTTGTAAACTACAGCAGGAGTCCTAGCGTGGTCAAGAAAAACATGGTCTCTGTGATCTTTTAGATTAATCGTCTTTGATGTGTAAATTTAATGTTGACAGCTTGCAAATATTCACTAAAAAAAGACTAGACATTACAGAAATTCTACTTTGGGGTATTTCCTAATTCTTAAATGGATCCTATAATGATTATATGTATTATGGGATCATCTACTTGCTCCCATCACAAATATATTTATATATAACTGATCCTTAAAATTATAAACTACATTATTGATTTCATTGCTTTTCTGCCTTTTGGGGTGGGTGGAATAGGAAGATAACCAACAAGCCTTACTCAGAGCACTCGGCAGCCTTTAAGTACAGGTGCTATATTCAAGGCACCATTTATAATGATTTGAGGTTACAGGAAAGCAAGTATACAGAAGGAGCCAAGATCTAGAAAAGACGCCTGGATCAAACAAGAGGGGAGGCCCTGTGCAAGTCAAAGATGAAGAAAAAAATACTATCATCTCCAGTTACTGATCTTCACTGTCATGCTATAGCATTGTATCACCTACGGGAAGGGCTCTTAAAAGAGCAGTAAATGTATCCCACTAAAGTCTGTTAATTAAGATTCTTACTAACTAGATAAACCACAAGTAAAATTAAATTGATTATTAAAGTGACTCTATAGAAGTAAAATATCTAAATATTTTAGTATGAGTATGTTCCACCTACCACATAAATGACTCTAAGTGTCACAAGTATAATTCACTTAGCTTGCTTAAAATTATTTACCAGAATTCAGCTCAGCCTGACACGGGTTCCTGGGCCAGTCTTCTCAAGTATTTGTTTCAGTATAAAGTTCCTTTTATTTAAACAAGTGTCAAATATTAGTAATAATACAGGATTAAGAGTGGTTAATTAACAACTAAGAAATTATAAGAAAAACATCATTCTGTTATAAAATATAGCATTCAGCAGAGCAAATTTCAAGACTGAGGATATACACCTATGCTTCTGAACAGACTAAACAGCACAGCCGAGCACGATTTGAGTCAAAGAAGCAAGGAAAAAAAGGAGGGAGGGGCCATAGGAGGCAGAGTATCGAAGCTTTTTATTCTAGTGTCCCCAAATTGACTGTGGAAGTAAAAAGTTTCTACATTAAAAAAGTTTATATAAATTACATGAATTGCAATTTTCATAAAAGTCAAAATGAAATGTTCTGCATAGGACAAAAGATATGCCTAAGCAACATATCCTATCTGCACAAGGCCACTGAATGTCATGGATATTAATAACAAATGAAAAAGCTTAAGTCTATGACAGACTAAGCAAAGATTTGTTTGGTATTCTATAAGCCCAAGATTGTAAACTACTCTTACTATACAAAAGCTCTAATGACATACAGAGTTTTGTGTAGGAACTCTTGTGCTTCTGGTTGGCACATCATCTACTTTTTAATATGTGAAATTAATACAGACATTTGTGAGAGGTTGTGCAAAACTATTATATTTACAAAAATGGCACAAAAGTGAATTCAACAGTCGATGCACATGCACACTTCATTCACATCTTCAACAAAGGATATTCAAACACTACAGAACTGAGTAAGAACACTAGCTTCAACAGCAGCTGTTAAGCACTAGAGTCACATAAGTTACACCAGAATGGGCAAATATTGCCCAAGTAAAATCTATTGTTAAAGCTGAAACAGGTTTAAGGCCATCCAAGTTCAAGCACAGAGAAACAAATCTTTCAAAACCCCATCTATCTTTGTTTGAAGAATGTGACCTTCTTTCCAACTTGTGGTCTTAAACTTCTGTTTTACAAAATCCAAAAGGAAAATACAGAAGAAATCAATACAATAAAGGTTATATTAAATAAGAGTAACATACAAAGCTATAATTAAGATGAATTAAAGAAAGCCAAAAGATTACAATTGTAAAATTTGCTTGTTACTTGTTCAATCAGTCCTATACTAGAAGTTAGGTAATATATACAACTATTTTCAAGTAGATTACTTTATGTTGCTCTAACATGTTCTCTTTATCAGTGCACTGTTAAAACTAATCAAAACTCTACACACGAATATTCCCTTACAATAGCAGCACACACTACCGCTACCTGCAAAGCTGTCATTCTCAAATGACTTAGTGAATGAAAGGAAATAAAAAGCAGAGAAGTAACATATTAAGGAGAAATAATGGGAATTAGAAGACTCATGCAGTTCAGCTCTTTTAATCAGCCAGCCAGCTTGCTAGCAACAAGGGATGGTTTCCGTTGAGGAAGGTCCTGTGGAGTGGGAATGTGGTCACCAGTGACCTCTGTCTTATCCGGAGCTGCAGTAGGAAGCTGCTTGTTCTTCATTTTTGCTTTAGCCATGTTGTAATCCCCAGAATCAAAATATTTTTGCTACAAGAAAAAAAAAAATTGAAACTGGATTTAAAACTTACATATGCAATCACACTGATTTAACATGTAGATAAAATAAGTTAATCTAAAAAAAATTTAAACATTAATATAGATGAAATAGCAAAGCTTTCTTGTACTAGCAGAAAAATCAGACTGAAATTCTTGCTTAAATTATTTTGAAAATAAAAACACTTAAACACCAACTAGCATTTAGAACGTGCCACACACTTTCAATTAACCTTGTATTATTAAAACCATTAGAGTTCCTGATATCTAGGATGAACATTTCTGTAAGGATTTAAAATCAGTTATCTGAATTAGAGCAGTTCACTAAAATCAAAAGTAAGGTTAAAATATAAATGCTAGGGAAATGCTAGGGGGGGCACCTGGGTGGCTCGGTGGGTTAAAGCCTCTGCCTTCGGCTCAGGTCACGATCCCAGAGTCCTAGAATCGAGGCCCACATCAGGCTCCCTGCTTAGCAGGGAGCCTGCTTCCTCCTCTCTCTCTGCCTGCCTCTCTGCCTACTTGTGATCTCTGTCTGTCAAATAAATAGATAAAATCTTTTTTTTTTTTAAAGGTTTTATTTATTTATTTGACAGCCAGAGATCACAAGCAGGCAAAGAGGGAAGCAGAGAGAGAGGGGGAAGCAGGCTCCCCGCTGAGCAGAGCCCGATGCGGGGCTCGATCCCAGGACCCTGAGACCATGACCTGAGCCGAAGGCAGAGGCTTTAACCCACTGAGCCACCCAGGCGCCCCAATAGATAAAATCTTAAAAAAAAAAATAATAAATGCTAGGGTAACAGAGGAAATAAACTCATTAGAAATTATCGCTTAAAATGCACATCCCTATCCTACACCTCTGTTTTTCACTTAAGACACTGTATAAGTACAACTATCACTTTTAGTGGAGGGATGAATAAGTTAATAATGATACCCTTTATCACTAAAATATAAATTGCAGGGAGAGCTAAAGATCAACCTTAATATAGCTAATCTACATGAGTTACCTGTTTCAGAGTAAAAACAGACAAATCTGCCTGGGTTCTGACATGTCATGTTTAACCTACCTTTACTGAATGCCTCTTAGTGCACTGTGTGAGTCCTGGAAAAGATACAAAGATGCACAACAAAGATTCCAACCATTATACTGTTTTTAGTACATAAGGTGCTGTGAGTGCTCAAAGGAGGGTAACCTAATCTTTCTAGGGTAGGCAAGAGGGGATAATCCAGAAATGAGATGAGTGCCTCACGGACAAAAGGTGAAGGGAGAAGAGAGAAAAAAAAAATTCTCCGAGACTTCAGAGATCGCTCTGTGGTAAATAAAGTAGATGAGAATTCATAGCTTAGTGAAGCCCTCTGGCTTTAGGCCTGATCTGGCTTATCACAGAATAGTCCCTTGAGGGATGCAACCACTGAGACCTTTTCCCAGGACACTCAACACTAAGGCTTCCCGACAAATTAACTTTTAAGTCATTTTTCTTAAAACGGAATCTTTGGGGTGCCTGGGTGGCTCAGTGGTTTAGGCGTCTGACTCTTGACTTCGGCTCAGGTCATGATCTAGGGTTGTGAGATGGAGTGCTCTGTGCTCAGTGTAGAGTCTGCTTGGACTTCTTCTCCCCCCACACATGCTTTCTCTTTCAAATAAATAAATAAAATCTTAAACAACAAAAAAACCTGAATCTTCAGTTTTTCTGGGGCTTCACAAACTCCATAAATATGAAAAAATACGGGCCAGACTGCTCCTTGATACCCCTCCCAGCTTTAACAGTCTGTATGTAACAATATACAACCCACACAGTGAAAAGCCTAAAATGGATGTAATAACAAGTACAGTAATAAACCCTCCCAAACGAAGAACCAACTGTTTAAAGATACTGAGGTAACTTAAAAACTAAAACCCAAGACTCTGTGATCCAGATTATCTTTAAAACAAACAAACAAACAAAAACCCTTTTAAAAAAGTAAGAAATGATATAGCTGAATGTAAGACTTCATTTCCCAGGGGCGCCTGGGTGGCTCAGTGGGTTAAAGCCTCTGCCTTCGGCTCAGATCATGATCCCAGGGTCCTGGGATTGAGCCCCGCATCAGGCTCTCTGTTCAGTGGGGAGCCTGCTTCCTCCTCTCTCTCTGCCTGACTCTCTGCCTACTTGAGATCTCTGTCAAATAAATAAATAAAATCTTAAAAAAAAAAAAAAAAAGACTTCATTTCCCTAATATAAAAGTGCTTATTCATTGACATTTGGTATAATGCAAAATCATTCAAGAGTTCCCTTCTCAAATTCTATATAATTATTTGATTCAAGCAGCATTTTCTCTTTCCCAACTATTCATAATACTGACTACAAGATACAATGTTTATGAATTCTGACTTGAAGGTTCTTAAAAAGCCATAAATAGTTGAAACTAGAGAAAAATTACAAAGACAACAGCCCAAATGCTGGAAAAAAGCTTGCTAGCATAAATTATGCTGGAGATCAGCAAAGGAAAAAAGTTTCCTAAACACTTAGTAATCAATCTAATTAATAATTTAAGAGATGATTACATAATTTATTTTATAACTAAAACCACAGCAGTCAACCATTTCAAAATTAGACTTGATATAAATACATTCCATGCAGCTATATTCGTAATGAACATGTTTCTCATTCTGCTTTTCTATTTATTCCCTACATTACACTATCTTTGTAATAATGCTTTTATTTTTTAAAAAGATTTTATTTATTTGAGACAGAGAGAGACCGTAACAGAAAGAGTGAGAGAGAACACGAGCAGGGAAGAGAGGGAGAAGCAGGCTCCCCACTGAGCAGGAAGCTTGACGAGGTACTCAATCCTAGGACCCCAGGACCATGACCTGAGCCAGAAGACAGCCGCTTAACTGATGGAATCACCCAGGTGCCCCTTAGAGGTTTTATGTCTTTATATATTTAATTCCTACCTTTCACCCTAGTATTTCAAAGATGTGAACATTATTCTTTCATATAAAACAAAAAAATTCTGTATTTAATCACTTTCAAAAATACGTTTTTATTTATTTATTTTTAATTTTGTTAGAATTTTTATTAGGTGAGCTTTATTTATTTATTTATTTGGTAACCTCTATCCCCAACATGGGGCTGGAACTCAAGACCTGGAGATCAAGTCATGTTTTACTGACTGAGCCAGCCAGGTGTCACACTACCATACTCTCTCGGTATAAAGGAAAAGAGTATATGATTTCACTTACATGTGGAATCTAAAAGCATTAAAATCATAGAAACGGCAGAATGTGGTTGCTAGGGGCTAAAGGGTGGGGGAAATAGGGAGATACTGGTTAGAAGGCACAGATGTTCAATTATAAGGTAAGTAAGTTCCAGGGATCTAATCTAATGTAAGTAAGTAAACAATACTGAATTGTATACTTGACAATTGCTATGAAGAGTAAAGCTTAATGTTTTCACCATAACAACAAAATGGTAATTATGTGAGGTAAGTAATGCTTAGTAGTAAGCATTTCATAACATGTATGTATATCAAATCATCATGGTGTACACCTTAAACTTACACAATGTTTTATATCAACAGCATCTCAATAAAGCTGGAAAAAAATATCCTTTTGCAATCTGATTTAAGAAAATAATCCATATATAACTACAGCCAATACCTATACACATAAACATACACGTACATATGGACATTTTTTTTTTAAACATTTTATTTATGTAACAGAGATCACAAGTAGACAGAGAGGCAGGCAGAGAAGGGAGGAGGAGCAGGCTCACCGCTGAGCAGAGAGCCCGACGCGGGGCTCGATCCCAGGACCCTGGGATCATGACCTGAGCCGAAGGCAGAGGCCTTAACCCACTGAGCCACCCAGGCACCCCTGGACATGTGTTTTTAACCAAACAGCAGATACCAGTATGTTCAAGGTATTAAAGGAAAAACATGATTTGACACCTGATTCAATTAATAAATTCCTTCATCTTTCCCTCTTCTCTGTGTGGTAAAGCATTTATTTTATTTTATTTTAAAGATTTTATTTATTCATTTGAGAGCAAGAGAGACAGAGAGCGCACACAAGCAGGTGGAGAGGCAGAGGGAGAGGGAGCTGTCTCCCTGCTGAGCTAGCCAGAAGCCCCAATTGGGGCTCGATCTCGGGACCCGGAGATCATGACCTGACCCTAAGGCAGACGCTTAACTGTCTGAGCCACCCGGGTGTCCCATGTGTGGTAAATCATTTAAATGTACCTAAACCAAAGATGAAGTCCTTTAATTTTTTACGAAGTAGTTAGAAAAAAAAAACCCAAGGAATGAACAAGTAGCATTATCTCAATTCAGATCTTATTACTAAGCAATAATGGTTTCTACCACACAAAGAACTGGTAAGATTTTGAAAAATGTTTTCATTAATATGAACTATTAAAATTACCATGTATAAACTGAATTAGAGTAACTCTGTAAAAATGTATTATGTAAAGGAAATAATAAGCTCTGCTTTTATAAAAGCGACCATTTCATCCAAATAAAAAATATTTTCAGTCTGCAGGTAAAAGTTAAAAAAAAATGAGCAGGGGATCTATGCCAGCTTTTGGAAAGAAGGGGGAAAGGATATATATATACACACACATGTGGGCAAGTTTCAACCATTATCTACAACATTTTCTTTCTTACAAAGATTAAACTATTAACATTAAATATTAACATACTAAATCTGGGTGGTGGGTACACGGGTTCTGCTATATTATCTATACCTTCTACATGCTTGGAACAGTTTAAAGTGATGAGCTGTTCATTCTTATACATATTTATATAATGAACAATATAAAATATTGGAAAAATTATATATCTCTCTATATAGCTATATCTGGTAAGGTACAGAGTTATATATACACAGACACGCATTTCACAATAGCAATTACACTGAGTTCATAGGGTTTAAACATTTGAAGATTATACATGAGAACTTACCCCTTTCTGTAATCGTTTCCTTAAGAAATCTGAACCTCCAGGCTTTTGTCCCAGATGAGGATACCTTGCTTTTAATTTTGCTTCTTCAGCTTTCTCTGGACTAGTCACTTTATCTTCCATTTCCTGAAATAATTTAAAATAAATTACTTGTCTATTATAATCCACTTATTTAAAATAATTCACCTTTTATTATCTGGATCCTGACTTTAGTTGTCGAGTGCCAAATAATGCAGCATCTGACTAAGAAATCAAGCACAGAAGCTTTTAAAACATCTCTGTCTTGTTTTTCAAATGATCCATGTGATAGCTCTATTATAGCTGTGATGCATGTGTACACCCCACACACTGGATAAAAATATCAAGATAACTCAGCTCTGAAGTCTTGCTTGCCATTACTTTCCAGTCATGTATAATACATTTATAGTTAGTCACCTTCCATGGAACTCATCAGCTCCTTGCCTATATTTAGAGAACCATCTTAATACTGTTAAAATTTTAAAAAAAAAAAAAAAAAAAAAAAGAGCTGATCTCCTGTTAATCCAAGTTCATGTATGACCGGGGGCTCTGAAATTCTTTAACAGGAATTAACAACAGCTTACTTACCAGCAGATTTTCCCTAACTCAATACAGAAGACCTTGGTACTTTTTTTTTTTTTTTAAATTTTATTTCTCTTATGTAATCTCTACACCTAACATGGGGCTCAAGCTCACAACCCTGAGATCAAGAGTCACATGCTCCACCAACTGAGACAGGCACCCAGTCTTGTATTTTTAAAGAAAAACATCTTCGTCAGGATCCTAGTTGATTGGGCGGCTGCCTTTGACTCAGGTCATGATCCCAGGATCCTGGGATCAAGTCCCACATTGGGCTCCTTTTCAACAGGGAGCCTGCTTCTCTCTCTGCCTCTCTGCCTGCCATTCTGCCTGCTTGTGCACTTTCTCACTCTCTGACAGATAAATAAATAAAATCCTTAAAAAAAAAAAAAAGTATTTGTCAACCTTCGTATCAGTGTATATTATTCCCTAAATTTCCCCCATATTTAATGACAAATACTGCTCATGCCAAAGGTCCCATTCTTTAATGTATCAAAATGTGCTTTCTGACCAAATGATTGTCAGTATTTTAAGACTATTCAATTTTTCCTTTAAAAGATCTTATATATTTGAGAGCGAATGAGCGAGGAGTGGTAAGAGGCAAAGGAACAAGCAGACTCTCCCTCCCCACTTAACAGAGAGCCTGACACAGGGCCAGTCCTAGGATCCTGAGATTATTACCTGAGCTGAAGTCAGGCACTTAACCAACTGAGCCACCCAAATGCTTTTTTTAAAAAAGATTTTATTTAGGGGCGCCTGGGTGGCTCAGTGGGTTAAAGCCTCTGCCTTTGGCTCAGGTCATGATCCCAGGGTCCTGGGATCGAGCCCCGCATTGGGCTCTCTGCTCCGCGGAGGGCCTGCTTCCTCCTCTCTCTCTGCCTGCCTCCCTGCCTGCTTGTGATCTCTCTCTCTCTGTCAAATGAATAAATAAAATCTTTTAAAAAAAAAAAGAGATTTTATTTATATATTTGTCAGAGTGAGCACAGGCAGACAGAGTGGCAGGCAGAGGCAGAGGGAGAAGCAGGCTTCCTGTTAAGCAAGGAGCCCAATGTGGGACTCGATTCCAGGACGCTGGGATCATGACCTGAGCCGAATGCAGCGGCTCAACCAACTGAGCCACCCAGGTGTCCCAACTTTTTTTTTTTAAAGTAAGCTCTACAACCAACATGGGGCTCAAACTCTTACTCCAAGATTAAGAGTTGCATGCTCTTCCAACTGAACCAGCCAGGTGCCTCTAAGCCTATCACTTTTTTTTTTTTTTGAAAAGCATAAAATTTACTTAATACAAATTTTACGCCATATAGGAGGCTTCATAAAGATGAGGACCAAAGATATGGTTAAACCTGATTTTTATGTTAGGTTTAATCAAAAGTAGAGAGAAAATGAAAAACAACAACAACAACAACAGGACAAAAAGGAGTATGAGATGAAAGTGGTAAATGGAAGAAAACACCAAGGCCTATTTGTTTAGTCCTTTCAGTGTCCCTCTATCTTGGATTATAGGGGAAGGCACCTCTCATTTAAGGATCTTCTGACCGCTTCAGGGGAAGGTCAAGAAGTCCTTCCTGCACATACCAGTTCTCAAATTCCTTTAGCTTATAATATCCAAAATCATAAGCTGCCATATTTTGGGGTAGCATGTCCTAAACCCTGTCATTCCCCCAACTGAAACTTTCCCAAGAAGTTTCACAGTTCAAAAACTGAGTTGGTAGATTATCCCATAACCCACTGAATCTGTCTCAGTCCTGGGAATAAGTCAGTCCCTTCAAAAGTCTTGTCTTATTTCAGGACATGGTGGTTTAACTCCTACATTAGGTCTCTATACAGTATGACTGCTCATACCACTGGCATTTAAGAAAGGGACTTTTTTCTTGCATTTACTTTTGTCAGTTTTCCCAAGATCCCATCTATAGACTCTGGAGTGACTGCGGTGTCCTAACCATCCCTTTATGGTCAACAGAAACTATCTGTCAAGTTGAAAAAGGTCCTGTCTCTTCCCCTTATTCTTTCTCCTCTTCTCAACTCCTCTACATACCGCCTTCCAAATATATCTGGTACCCGCCTGCAGATTAGGGCAGCAGGACCGAAAGAAGGAATCCACTCAAGCCTACTGACTTTTAACACCAGTTTTGATACAGTCTACTTTCTTCCCAAGAGCCATATTTTATACAGGAACAGTGTTTATCACTTTATGGTAAGTACAGAAAAAGAATGAATCAAGAAAAACAAAGTTTCCCTGATAGACAATGCTGGGCAATGGCAAAATGCACCTTCCAGCTAATGGACTTGTTTCTGCATACCAGCTAGGCAAAATCACGTACCTCTGCATATCTCAGTTTTTCCAGGTTATTTATGAATGTCAAAAATGAATGATCATCCATAAATGCCAAGCCTCCGGTTCCTGTACAGCCAGCAAATCATTTATGCCCAAAATGACTTAAGACTTTTGAATGCATTTTCCTTAAAATTATATTCATATATGCTTTATAATTGGCTCTGTTCAGTTTATACGTCATCAATATTTCCTTCATCTTGACTAGCTTCCTCATGTGTTAGTACATCTTCTCATTTTCAGTCTTGCAGTATTTTGAGATTAAAGCTGCTGTTACTGTCAAACTACTTTTTCTATGGGGCTTCCTTTGTATGTATGCTCCCTTTGGCTCCAAGTATTCTACCTTCCTTTTATGCCAGTTTCATGCATCTATTTAGATTTTCAGTCTCTTTAAATGGTCACATCACTCACTTGATATACACAAAATTCAACTACGTGTGTTCGGCCAGAGACAGAGACTCTAAAGAGTTATCAGTTATTCTGCCAGTCATTCCATTCAAGAAGAGTATGCCCAAGAGAGATCTCAAGTGTTAGGTGTGTGATGCAAATCTGCTATTCCCATGGTGATCTCAATCCTGGGTTCCTTTCAGAATTTAAGAATTTCAGAATCAATGTTTTGTTTATCACTCTAGTATTTTAAAACTCAGCCCCTACAATACAAGTCTACCACCTAAGCTGTCAATTAACTGAAGGATTAGCCCAGACATCTGTTCAACCACTAGATTAAAAAAGTGACTACTCATCCTATTGAGAATTGATGGAACTGTGTGCACTATGATTATGACTTCATTGGGGTTTTTCAAGGGTGATTTTAGTTATATGCGATTCCTGCCTTACTAACTTTAGAATCTAACCATTATATAAGGTAGGACTATACCGTTTTCATCACAAAAGCTAAAGAAAAAATATAAATTTAAGGTTACCAGTTTAGTGCAGGAAGATGGGCTGGAGTTTCTCTTCAGTGGCTCAGCCGTCACTGTAGGCATCTCCTATAGGTGCAGCTGTACTGACAATGGTGCTACTTAGGGGAACTGGGAGAAAGAACCTATTCTTGGGTTCCCCTATACAGTCGTTTTAAAAACTGGTTAGCATTAAATGTGGATGTTAGTTGAAAAGGACATAACTTGATCATAGCCTTTGAATCCTCACACATTCCGATTAAAGGGTGTTAACAGAGTCCTCTACATTTGCACTAAAACCATCCAGCTTTCTTGGGCTCTCCACTTCCTTTATTTAGTTGAATTATCAGTTCTCTATTTGTAAGAGAAATTTCGTAAAGTTTCTGGTTAGAGGTAGCAACTTTCTCTAATTTCTAGTGTTTCTGCAGGTTTCCCTCACAGGAGAGGGCAAGAAAGTTGTACATAATATAACACTGTACCTGGCATTCCCTTATTTTCTAAATAAGGAATACATTCGTGTATATATTTATATAGTATTAAGCATGTTCAATTAAATCAAAATAGTTTACTATAAAAAATGTTTTGGGCAAAAGCATCTACAGAAAAAAATACCATTTAGGTTTAGAATGGATTTATAGTATGTCCTAGATAAACAATTTAACTTTCTTGCCAAATACATAGCACAAGAACAAGTGTCTCAGAATTTCAGCTGCATTTAACACCAAAAGGGGGAAAAAATACGACCAAAGCTGCATTTTTAAAACATAGTTCATACCATAAAGACATCTAGGGGGGCGCCTGGGTGGCTCAGTGGGTTAATCCTCTGCCTTCAGCTCAGGTCATGATCCCAGGGTCCTGGGATCGAGCCCCGCATCGGGCTCTCTGCTCAGCGGGAAGCCTGCTTCCTCCTCTCTCTCTGCCTGCCTACTTGTGATCTCTCTGTCAAATAAATAAATAAAATCTTAAAAAAAAAAAAAATAAAATAAAGACATCTAGGATATTTTTCATGGATCACACGGAAACATTCTTAACTTTTTGGAAATGTAGAGTTATGGGACCTTACTGATAAGGAAGTTGAAATGCTTGGGCCTTATAGTATTAAGTATAAATAACACATCAGGTGGCAGACTATGTCTACTGGCATTCAGCTCACACTTAACCTTTTTTTTTTTTTTAAAGATTTTATTTATTTACTTGACAGAGAGAGATCACAAGTAGGCAGAGAGGCCAGCAGAGAAAGGGAAGCAGGATCCCCGCTGAGCACAGAGCCCAATGCAGGGCATGATCCCAGGACCCTG